CCCATCAAACTAACAGCAGACTTCTCAACTGAAACCCTACAGGCCAGAATAAAGTGGAATGATATATTCAAAATGCTAAAAGAAAAAAACTGCCAGCCAAGAATTCTTTGCCCAGCAAGACTCTCCTTCAGAAACGAGGGAGAAATAGTGTATTTCCCAGATAAACAAAAGTTGTGGGAGTACACCACCACATGACTAGCCCTGCAACAAATTCTCAAGGGAGTCATTCATCTGGAATCTGAATAATGGTGACCATTATCATGAATACGCAAGAGCAAAACCCACAGTTAAAACAAAAATGCCAGCAAGAAAGAGACAGAAGCTAAATGATTCCACCTTAAATTCCTGACTAACATTGAAGGAGAGAAATAAAAGGGGAAATAATGATCAAAAGATATTTAAACCACCTAAACAAGTAGCAATTAAATGACAGGAATTAAACAACACTTCTCAATAACTACTCTGAATGTGAATGGACTAAACTCCCCATTCAAAAGACACAGACTAACTGACTGACTGGATTAAAAAGCGAGACCCAAGTATATGCTGTTTTCAAGAGACCCACCTCAACTGTAAAGGCACTCATAGACTAAAAGTGAAGGTATGGAAAAAGATATACCATGCAAATGGAAACCAAAAATGAGCAGGAATAGCTATTCTTATATCAGAGAAAATAGACTTTAAACCAAAAAATATTTAAAAAGACAAAGAAGGCCATTATATAATAATAAAGGGAACTATCCAGCTAGAAGACATAATCATAAACAGGTATGCACCCAATACTGGAGCACCCAGATATATTAAGCAAACACTCTTAGACCTAAAGAAGGAGATAGGACCTAATACATTAATAGTGGGTGATCTGAACACCCCTCTCTCAGTATGGGACAGGACTTCCAGGCAACAAGTCAACAAAGAGACACAGGATTTAATCTACACCCTAGACCAACTGGACTTGGCAGATATATACAAAACATTTCACCCAACAGCTAAAGAACACACTTTCTTCTCATCAGCTCATAGTACATTCTCCAGGATAGATCACATATTAAGTCACAAATCTAGTCTCAGCAAATTTTAAAAAATTGAAATCATTCCGACAATCTTTTCAGACCACAATGGACTAAAACTGTAGATAAACAATAAGCAAATTGCTGGAAGCTATACAAATACATGGAAAATAAATAATAGGCTCCTGAATGACCTATGAGTCCAAGAAGAAATTAAACAGGAAATCAAAAAATTTCTAGAAACTAATGAAAATAAAGATATATCATACCAAAACTTGTGGGATACTGCAAAAGCAGTACTAAGGGGCAAATTTATTGCAGTAAATGCTTATATCAAAAAAAATGGAAAGACTCCAAATAAACAACCTAACGCTATGCCTAAAGAACTTGAAAAACAACAACAAACCTAAAGGCAGAAGATGGAAAGAAATAATTAAGATCAGAACAGAACTAAATGAAATAGAGACCCAAAAAACAAAAGATCAACAAAACTAAAAGTTGGTTTTTTGAGAAGATAAACAAAATAGACACACCATTAGCTAGATGAACAACAACAACAAAAGACCCAAATAACAAAAATCAGAAATGAAAAGGGAGACATTACAACTGACACTACAGAAATACAAAGTATCATTAGAGACTATTATAAACAACTGTATGACAACAAATTTGAAAATCTGGAATATATGGATAAGTTTTTAGACACATATAATTACCAAGACTGAACCAAGAAGAGACAGAAAACCTGAACAGACCAATAACAAGCAAGGAGATTGAAGCAGTAATTAGCAATCTTCTAACAAAAAAAAGTCCAGGTCCGGATGGCTTTACCACTGAATTCTATCAAACTTTTAAAG